AAAGGCCATGACTCTTTGGAACCTGTTTGTATTGGAACAATATGGATTTCTTTGTTGCTGGGGCTCCCTAAAGCCATTCACTTAATGACTCTGCAATATCTATCAGGCAACCTGCAAAAAACTGGCTTCTAAAGACCCATGGATTTTTACTACACTTTGCTAATGATGACCGCAAGTGCAAATATTACTCAGAATGTTAAAACTGTGAATGGTAATTCATTTTCTGGCTACTAACATTAACATTCAGAATGTTAGAGTGTCAATGCAGATCAACACATCTTCCAACCATGTCTGCTATTGGTCTCTTTGGGCTAATTACTGTCTTCCTAGAGTGCGATCTGTCATGCTGACCACTCCCCCACCATACACAGAAACCAGTGGGCAGGGATGGTTCTGCTAGAAGAGCTGTCCCAAGTGCATGAGGAAAATCCACTCAGCTACAGACTGATCTATGAGAGCAGGAAGTCCCCTGGTGGCAAGACATTTGCTACAAAGTCTGATCTGTGTTGTGCAGCAAGTTCCCCAAATGCCTGGGGGTGGAGTGGGGGCCAGGACTGCCTAACACCTGGTGCAGAGCCTGCAGCAGAGAGGGGGCCACCACAGCAGCCAGCAGTGGAGCTCAGAGGGTGAAGCTGGCTCTATTCTCCTCCACTGCTGCCCTTAGGTGCTGTAGAAGGTGGTGCCGCACCAACAACAGATAAGAGAAAGCCAGTGCAGAGCCTGCATATGCACTGAACCCCAGGACTAAGATGATTTTTGATAGCCTAGAGCCCTGAACACATGCTCTAACATAAGAGTCCCCTCAAATCATCATGTTACCAACATCCCAACAGTCCAGTTATGTACTGTCCTACAAAAAAATATACCATGAGTGCCAGTGAAAGGTTCTGTTCACTGGTCCCAGGTCGTAGACTTGAGTCCCAGGGTGACTTGTGGCATTTTGTGGAAACACATGTGTGTCGGGCTGAAAGAGAAGAGCTTCCAAAAGGGGAGGAGAAATGGGACAAGAGCTTATCTGGGCTCAGAAAGGCTGTCCTGGATGGCTCTGCCACCCTGGTCAGTCTTAGGCCCTGAAGGTGGTTTTAGAAATTTTCTATAACAGAACTTTCTAAACTGATGGATATAGGTCAGGATCAAGATGGCCAATACTGCCAGCCTGTACCCGGGTGTTGGAGAGCAACTTAGGTAATTTTTTTTTTTTAGAGATGGGGGTCTCATACTTGCTCAGGCTGGTCTCAAACTCCTGAGCTCAGCCAATCCACCCACCTCAGCCTTCCAGAGTGTTGGGATTACAGGTGTGAACCACCACTCCCAGCCAGACTTAGACAATTTGGAGGTAGGCATTTCAGATTTGGGTGAGAGGGGAGTGCTATGCCCACACCTATGGTCCTGGGGTTCTCAGCACCTAGTGCACTTTGATGCACTTCGCACTTTCTCAGGACACTGCACATTCCCCAAGGGTGTGGGAAATTTCTGTCCTCTTTAGAACAGACTAAAGAAGATCAAGGCTATTAAGCAACCAAGTCACCTTAAATCCTTTCTAGATTAATAAAATTAATCTGTTGACACATAACCACCTCTATTTTTATGGAGTTAACTGTGGCTCTGGTGAATGCAGAGCATGAGCTTGGCTTGGATGAGTTTGGGTGTCCTGGATGAAACAAATGCCTGTATAATACTGAGGAAGACTTGTGAAGGATTGCTGTTGTTCCTTCTGTTCTCTGCTGACATATCATTTTGAGAGTGTCCCTCTGAAAATTCTTTTTTTGGGGGGGTGGGACAGAGTCTCACTTTGTCACCCTCCATAGAGTGGTTATCAGGTATCATAGCTCATAGCAACCTCAAACTCCTGGGCTCAAGTGATTCTCTTGCCTCAGCCTCCCAAGTAGCTGGTACTACAGGCACCTGCCACAACGCCTGGCTATTTTTAAAAACAGGGTCTTGCTCTGGCTCAGGCTGGTCTTAGCTCATGAGCTCAAGCAATCCACCCACCTTGGCCTCCCAGAGTACTAGGATTCCAGGTGTGAACCACCTTTCTTATTTGGTAACCATCCCTCAAGGATTCTTGCTAGGACAACAGGAGAGCACAAAGTTGTGTTGTGCCACAGCAAGTCAGGCATTTTTGACATTAGATTTCTTCTTGAAGGTGGATATCAATCTCCCATCCATACGTGGTTGACCATTTACAAGACATTATGGCAATCTGACGTACCAGCATTCTAAATGTCTGCTGACAGCCTCTCCTCCTCCTCCAATGGGCCGGATAATTCCATAATGCAAATATATTCATATCCTTTCCACCTGTCCCTTCAGTGGTCTTGTGCTGCTTGCATTCACACTTTCTCTTGCTTACACGCTGTTTGTTCCACATGAAGCATTCTACTGACATCTTATCCCCCTTGGCCTGGCTAAATTATCTTTATTTTTTGTGCCTTAATCTAAGTCCTGGTTTCTCTTAAAAGCTATCTCAACATCTGTAGACTAGTCTTCCCTGTAACTACACAAATCACACCTTATTGTCATTGCTTTTTTATCTGTGTCTATTTCTCTGCAGAAAGCAAATCTTTCGAGAGTAGAGATTATGTCTGTCTTGTTCCACATCATAAATCCTTTGCCCAGCACAACACTTTAACAGAAAATTGATTGTTGATGAATCAGCAAATTGTATAATATTTACAACTTTATGAAGCAGACATTCTACTAGCCTCATTGTACAGATGAGAAAACAGAAGTTCAAAGTGGATGGACTCGGTATGTTGAAAAACAGTTTAGCAGATGTCCAAGCTCTTCCTTTTTCTTCCTAGAAACTTTATAAAAGCCCTAAGATATGATGTCTTGAAGCTTTCATGTTTTTCATGGTAATCATCTTAATAGTCAGGTCAAAGATGTGGCAGGAAGGCCAAGATGTATTGCAAAAGTACGGATAGGCGCATGTAAGACTTTCGGAATTACCTGTGTATTTAGGATGATGGTAGCTGCAGCATCCCAGTTGTCATCTTTAATGTGTACCTCAGCCAAGTCATGAATGTTTCTTGACTTGATTTGTGTGTTCTGACTTAGGAATTCTTTTTTTGTTCTTATTTTTTGATTTTCATATTGCCCTTATTTAATTTTAATATAAATATTCAAACTGCTATCTTAACATAGGGTATTAATGAATTCCTAATTCACTTTACTTGCATCCTCTTTTTCTCAACTTCACTGCGGTATAAGTGACTAAAAACTGCATACATTTAAGATTTCCTTGATGCTTTGATTATATATACACACACTGGGAAATGATCACCGCAATCAAGCTAATTACCATATCTATCACCTCACATAGTTACTTTGTTTACATTTTGAGATTACTTAAGATCTACTCCAAAGGCGTATTTCAAAAATGCAATATGTGATCATTAACTATTGACTAAGGAATTCCTTTTTTCTTTTTAAGGCAGAGTCTTGCTCATTCTGTTGCCTCAGGTAGAATGCACAGGTATCATCATAGCTCACAGCACCCCCAAACTCCTGGGCTCAAGCAGTCCTGCTGCCTCAACCTCCTGAGTAGCTGGTACTACAGGCATCTGTCACCAGGCCCACCTAATGTTTGCATTTCTTTTAGGGAATGAGGTCTCCCTCTTGCTGAGGCTGGTCTTGAACTCCTGAGTTCAAGCAGTCCTCTCACCTCAGCCTCCCAGAGTGCTAGGATTGCAGTTATGAGCCACTGTACCCAGCCTGACTCAGGAATTCTTTTTTTTTTTTTTTTTTTTTTTAGGAATTCTTTATATCCTTGCTCCAATCATGAAGAGTCTCTAGGCTCTGTCCCCTTCCACACAAAAATGGCTCCACTCTCCTAACTCACACAACCAACCATGGCACTCCCCCTCCAAAGAAAAACAAGCTATCCAGCTTTGTTTGGGGCTCAACAGCTCACATGGCATGAACTTTATGGCAAAGTATGGTGTCTGTTGGGTGAGTCCAATGTGGCTGATGCCTTAATCAAACAGTTGGTGATAAAAATAAGATTCTACATGTTTTTCCTGTTTTTCTCTTGAGAAAGAAGATTTCCAGTTAAAGAAAATATGAATCATAGTGTTCCACCAGTTTCTGTAAAAACACTTTGGGGTATGAAAGTGTCCTTTGTTCTCTGGCAGTTTCAATTGCTCTATAAAGCTCGCTGTTTTATCTGTTATCTATCTATAGATCTGTTTTGGAAGGATATATGCAAATGTTAACAAGGTCATATAATTCATAGGAAAACTTCCCATTTCCCATGTCCTCCTCTGATACTACATCTAGAATCCAGGACTGTTCAGATTAATATCATATTCCACAAAGACTTCAAAGCAGAACATTTCATGTTATACCAAACAAAAGGAAGTGGAAGAATTTTTGACTGGTTTCAGTCTCTGGATGTCCTTAAGTGTAGGTCTAACGGAACATGAAAGAATTAAAGCAAAGTCTAATACAGAGAGTGGAGCCCCCAGACCCTCTCAAGGCTAAAACAATTACTCAAACTAAGGCAAAGATGAAATCAAAGCCAATGACTGGTGTTTGTATAACCACCCCATATGCCATAGCTGTGTAAGTAAAGATTACAACCGTCCCCACCTCGTCTGTGTTGGACTCTTAGATGTTTGGTGTTTCCCCCTTACCATTGCTCATGATGTTTCCTGAGCAGGTTGCAACCCTTGTGTTCTTCTTTGCATCCATTGCAGAACTTAGGAAAATGTCTTATACTTCATACATACCCAGGTGGCATTTGCTGAAGTGAATTTAGAGGCATCCATTTACATTTACAAAGCGTCTTCTATTTGGCAACTCCATTAACCTAGTGTATGTCATTCTATTAAAGTATTAGAGCTATATTTCTTCAAAAACACTCTAAAAATCAGAAATGTCACGAATGTATACTAACACTAAACATTCTTTCTACCATTCCAGTCACCTCTGAATCACCAAGGCTTGATCCTGACAGAGTAGTCAAAGTGTTCAAGTGTCCCTCTAAATTTATTTACCTGGATAACTGCTGAAAGAGAGGCGATTACTGCTGCTTTCTTTATCTTTGATGTTGAAGTCCCAGTGTTTGTATATCCTGAGCATGGCTGCATATGTGTACCAGCTTGAGTGAGCAAAGTAGATGTTCTCAAATCCAGGAAGAACCTGTAGCCATAGTGGATGACACAGAGGTACACAGAAAACGGACTACAATTTTAAGTGCAGGAGACATACAGGCATTGTGTGAATTCTGTTAAGTATTTATTACTATATTTAGTACTAAAAAATAAGGCTAAGGAGTCCAAGATTAACCTTTAATGTGTACAAAACAGACTCTTCTTTCTAACATCTACAATGGAAGATTCCAGAAGGTGGGCATGGCAGATGCATGCAGCGTGGGAAGAATGGTAGGAGAAACAGAGATACTTCCCGTTCCCTCCATCAGAGTTCTTTCCAGTTCTTAAATCTTACCATGAAGGAACCCCTGAGCTGATGTGTACTATTGCCAGGGGATCTGAGATGTTGCCATGCTTGAATGATACCTAGAAAAAGTCTGTGTGAACCAGAAAAAGGAAAAAGGAGCTGGGATGTCTTACCTTGATAAGAGCAGAGCAATGTCCCATGTCCCATCTCTTAAAAACCTTCAGGTTGATATCTTTCATGGGGGAGAGTGAGGGAATGAGATCCAAGAGATCTCCAACAGCATTTAGGAACTGGATCTGGAACAGGGTCATGGGCTGACAAGAGACACAGACCACACTTAATGTTGATTTGTGACAGATACCATTTCCCGTTTTTCCTCTCGTTAGGGATTCATTAAATAATTCCTTTGTGAAGGATCTCTAATGTAACAGATGTACAAGATTTTATTGCAGCGTAGAAAATAATTTTTATGGCTTTATAGCATAGAGAAGACGTTTTAGCATGTTTTGATAGCCACAGATTTGGGGAGTGGCTCCTCAGTAAAGCAATGGAGTGTTCTGTTTGCATTCCTCTGTGGCAGGGCTTCTCGACATTGGCACTATTGGTATTTTTGAGCCAGATAATTCTTTCTTTTGGAAGGTTGTGTTTAAGATGTTTAGCAGCCACCTCTTGGGGGCAAGACACAAATGCAAGAGGGACTTTATCTAACAAACGCAATCAGTGCAACCTGGTTTTGTGTACCCTCAATGAATCCCCAACAATAAGGAAAAAAATGTTTAGCAGCATCCCCAGCCTCTGCCCTCTCTCTGTCAGTAGCAACCTTCTAGTTGTAACAGCCAAAAACATCTCCAGACATTCCCAGTGTCATCTGATTTTGATTACGACCATGGACTAAGCAGCATTAACCCTGAAGGCATTATCAGATTACACTTGAACATGAACTTGGTGCTAACTGGAGTGCACTGCTCTAGTGAGATTCAATCCACCAGAGTAGCCTGGGCCTAGGCATCTACAATTAAAAAACAAAAGTTAATTTTTTAATTATTATGGGTACATAATAGTTGTGTATACAAATTAGTTTTTAGGTAGAGGTGCTGAGAGGATAAACACAAATGACATTTTAACCAAAAAACAGAAACAAAAGCAAGAAACTCGATCCAATTTTTATTTATATAAATATTCTGTTTTGTTTTTAGAATAAGTGATGCATTCATTATGCAAGATTTAAAAATGTTTAACAAGGTTTATGATGCAAAGTCTCCTCCTCTTTCTGATCATTATTTGCTCAAATCCTACCCTGTTTCTAGTTTACCACTTTTATTTTGTGTGTATGTATCTCTAAAGATTTTTAAATGTCTTATAAATACAATTTTTAAAAACACAAATGGTAGCTGGGTGCAGTAGCTCATTCCTGAAATCCCAGCACTTGGGAGGCTGAGGTGGATGGATTGCCTGAACTCAGAAGTTCAAGGCCAGCCTGAGCCAGAGTGAGACACTGTCTCTAAAAAATAGCTGGTGTTGTAGGTGCCTGTAGTTCCAGCTACTTGGGAGGCTGAGGCAAAAGAATTGCTTAAGCACAGGAGTTTGAGGTTGCTGTGAGTTATGATACCACGGCACTACCACGGGTGACAAAGTGAGACTCTGTCTCAAAAAAAGAAAACAAAAACAAAAATGAAAAAACCACCCCCTCCAAAACAATAAATGGTAGATATTACATGTGCTGTTCTTCATCTTGATTTTTTTGTCTTAATATTTCCCACTTAATATCTTGGGGAATCTTTCCATATTAGATATAAAAATCTTCCTCACTCTTTTAAACAGCATTCCAACATATTCATGTGTTATAATATTTTTAAGGAGTATTTTGTTGATGATTTTTAGGTGGTTTCTAGTCTCTTGCTATTATAAACAGTGGCACAGTAATTAATCTTAGACACACCATTGTCTATGTGTGCAAGTCTATGTGTAGGATAAATTCTGAGAAGTGAAGCATATTGTAAATACCTTCTCTTGGTTTGTAAATTATATTTTCCCTCTCTATGACGTCTTTTGATAAAAAGAAATTCTTTATTTTACTTTGCTGAATTATCAGTCTGTTTCTTCGTGGTTAGTACTTTTGGGTGTTATGATATTGTTACCTACCCTGTGTCAGATTTCCTAGGTATGATCAACGCTACTGGGTTCTCATTACTCCTATGTCTTTTCAGGAGACCAAGCGAGGATATATGCATTTTTAAAGGAAGCGATGAGTAATGATTTCCTTCTATATTTCAATCTTAAATACCACAGTGTCTTTACTTCATTGACTTTTCCTATGCTTAAAATCTTTTTTTTTTCTGAGACAGAGTCTCACTTTGTCTCCCTCAGTAGAATTCTGTGGCGTCACAGCTCACAACTCCTGGGCAGCAACCTCAAACTCCTGGGCTCAAGTGGTCCTCTTGCCTCCGCCTCCCAAGTAGTTGGGAATATAGGGACCCACCACAATGCCTGGCTATTTTTTCAAAACAGGGTCTCTCTCTTGTTCAGGCTGGTCTCGAACTGCTGAGCTCAAGCAATCCACCTTCCTTGTCCTCCCAGAGTGCTAGGATTACAGGTGTAAGCTGCTACATCTGGCCTCTATGCTTAAAATCTTAACTAATATGGTAAAATAAAGCAAATAAGTAATTATATTTATCTATTCATCCAACTCTATTGAATTTTAGAACAATGAAACCAATATTATTACGCAAATGAGTTTACTGCATACACTTTAAGGAACTTTTGTACATTTGTTTTGTTTCTAAGGTAGTTCTTCTTGTCCTTAGGGTCTGTACCGCTAGTTAGACTGTTTTAATGTCATTTGATATTTGTTCTCTGTGTGGTTATGCTATCAACATGTTATATAGTTAGATATATTTGTGTCAATTTTTTTTCAATTTTTAGGGATTTTTTTGTGATTTATTTCTGTTTTAAAATTATGAACAGCATTTACATGGTTCCAAAGTCAAACCTATCAAGCAAGGGACCTTCAGAGAAATGTGTATTTCATTCCTATCCCCTCCACTTTCTTTTCTTCCTTCTTTTTATTTTATTTAATTTTATTTATTTATTTATTTATTGCAGTTTTGGCCAGGGCTGGGCTTGAACCCGTCACCCCCAGTATATGAGGCCTGCGCCCTACTCCTTGAGCCACAGGCGCCACCCTCTCCCTTCTTTTTAATTAATTACCTTTTAGTTTTGGATTTTAATTCTGTTGTTGTTTACTCTTAAAAAGATAAGCAAATCTGCTTACCTATCATCTTTCAATGTTTATTTCCCTTTCTTATGTAAGAGGTACACATTCTTCACCATATTTTTTAATGCTAATAACAAATCCCAAAGGTCACTCTGGAACAACATGTGGCAATCTAGTTTCTTTTTACAGATACATCAGTTTTGCAGCCAGTCCTCTACATATTTGGTTGTTACATGTACAAATTCTCAGCAAATGAATAGGCTTGTACGTATACCATATTCCATTTTTGCCAGTGTGCCATCGTGATGTGATCCAGTGTGCCATTACCGGATCAAAGGGTAAATGAGTACATGATTTTCACATAGAGTGCCAAGATTCCTGTCCATCATAAATGTACCATTTTGCATTTGTACCAGGATTTTAACAAAGTGCCTATTTCCCTCACTACTTTGTGAACAGAGTCCACTTTCACAGTTTGAAATTTTTGCCAACTTGATGAGTGAGAAAGTATGTATTTAAGTTTTAATTTATAATTATAATCTTATGATCAAAGCTGAACTCACATGATTAAAAATTATGAGTATTGCTTTTCTGTGAACTGTTTTCTTACATATTTTGATATATATATACACATAAGTATATCTATGTCTATGTCTGTATCTATGTCTTTGTCTATTTCTATCTCTATCAGTATCTGTGTCTATATCTATGCCTGTATTTATGTCTATATGTTACCCCCAGCAATCAAAATATCCACTGCTCTTGAAAATATATTGCATGGTACGTAAAACTTTCCCCCCAAATCATGATGTGTGCATTTGTGTTATGTGTTTATAAGAATGTCCTAGAGTGTGAGGAACACAGAACTTACATACTTATTTAAATCTATTTTGTATTAATGAGCATATGGTCTAAAACACTAGCTGTATCAGGTTAGTTAAGTGGACAGTACATTCACATAATATTACCTATTTCAGAGCACGGTTACTATGGAAGATGGGAAACACAGAACCAAGTTGCATTCATATGTTGTGCTTGAACTTTGTTACAGACAGTGAGTTAGGTGCTATAACAAGCTACCGTGTTTCCCCCCAAATAAGATACTGTCTTATATTTATTTTTTCTTAAGAAGACACACTAGGGCTTATTTTCAGGGGGGTGTCTTATTTTTATTAAGTACAATACAACAATCTACATTTATTCAAATACAGTTAAGTCATCTTCTTCTGGAACCTGACAGGGGGAGCCGACCTTGTTGGTGGGGCTGGCACTAGTGATGCGTGAACTCCTTTCCCCTAGCCGTTCGCATGTGTGCAATAGGGTGCCTATGACCGCGGTTACCACACTGCACCCACACAAGTGCTAATGCTCAGAGAAAGGAGCTGTGGCAGATAAAAGGTATTCCAGTCTTCCTTACTGCCCTGCTCTGCACCGAAATGCATGGCGTGGCTATGCAGATACACTGCATAGCCACACCTATTACTAGGTCTTATTATCGGAGTAGGGCTTATATTTAACAAATGCATAGAAATCCTGCTAGGGCTTATTTTTTGGGTAGGTTTTATTTTCAGGGAAACACGGTAGATACGACAGGGCTTGTCCACAGAGAATGTGTACTTTAATCCTATGTTGATCTGTTTTTAAATTGGAATGTTCTTTTAAAGATGGTTTTCAATATGACTGTCATACCATACATATTCTGTGCAGCTTCTTAAAAATCTTACCTTCGTTTCTTCTAATTTAGCCCTCTTTATTGCTCCTACATAGAGCCCATCCAGTTGTGACATAACATAGCCTGTATGTCTCCAAAATGGGTCATCCTTGTATTGTTTGATATTTTCCCGGGTCCATTCATCTTGTTTCCTGGAACAAAAATTAGATTTGCAGTAAAGGTCTTGGTGCTCACCCATCTGAAGCTGAATAAAACCAGCCATTTAGAAATTATATACCCACTTGTGCTAATATAATTTAAATTCTAGATCTTATAACATTACAGTTACTCAAGGATGTCAGAGAAAATCCTAAATGATTTTTAACTTCTCCCTAGGACTTGACTCTTTTTACAGTGTCTTCTGTGCACTATCTAAAATCAAGACACAAGTCTGATATTAATATTTATCTACCTGTGTTACTGAGACCTAAAGATGCCAAGGATGAGTCATTCATATAAATGCATGTCTCACTAAGTGAGTAAAGATAAATTGATAAACTTTTGCCTGTGGAAGTGGTAAAATTCAATAATGGGGGAAAAAAAACTCTTAAAGACAGGGCAGGTTATAATCGTTTATATTTCTCTCAACTCATTTTCACAGAGTAGGGTTCATTCATTCCAGTCGTTATTAATAACAGCCTCAATGCCTCAGCATGCTTAGCAAAAAAGTCTTATTTATTTGTAGAGGCATTGTTTCACTTTAAAGTCCATGGTAGAGTGCTGTGCTGTCACAGCTCACAGCAACCTCCAACTCCTGGGCTTAGGCGATTCTCTTACTTCAGCCTTCCCAGTAGCTGGGACTACAGGCACCCGCCAAAACGCCCAGCTATTTTTTTGTTGCAGTTTGGCCAGGGTCAGGTTTGAACCTGCTACCCTCTGTATATGGGGCTGGTGCCCTACTCACTGAGCCACAGGTGCCACCCCAAAAAGTCTTATTTTTAAATAGACCTTTCTTTCTATTTTCTTTCTGTTTTCTGCACTTTATATGAGAGGATTTGATATAACTTTGTATACTGAAGACTGTTTTTGGCCATTTTTTCCAGGCTACCTCTAACCAGTCTTGGAATATAATACGCATCATTGCTTCATGGGGTCTAGCCTGGTGGCTTTGAACTGATGCTCTGTAAGACTTTCACCAAGAAGTTGCTTAGCATATGATTTGAAGAGCCAAATTTTTTTGTCTCCAAATTTCAACATATTTAAAATCTTAGTCTTTAGAATACTCTTTAAATGGAAATATTCCCAGACAGTGTTAACAATTATGACTTTATCAGGCATCTTTAAACTATGACCTGCGGGCCACATGAGGCCCACCTAGGACATTTATCCAGCCCACCAGGTTTTTTTGCCACCACTGCCTGTCCTGCTTAGCAGCCCACTGGTCCCAGGGCCTGCAGTCCGGCCCTCCAACGGTCTGAGGGACAGTGAACCGGCCCCCTGTTTGAAAAGTTTGAAGACCCCTGCTTTAGGTATTAGGTAACACCCATCTAGGATGAATCACCAGGCCCAAGAAGAGAACTACACCTTAAAGAGGGAGGAGAAGTGATTCTTGCAAGGAGAGGGGTCTCCCTGTGAAAGGGATCCAGGGATTTAACTTTTCCTGCTTTTACACTGATGGTGTGTTCCTCTAACTGTTTTAGCAACTGACCAGAAGATATTCAATCTGACCTTTAAAAGTGCCAAAATTAGAGGGCATGTCTGCAACTGGTCTGCATGCCATTACCAAAAAGCACTAACCTCCTACTAGGAAAAGAACCCTCAAATCCTGCTAAAGAGATAAAGAAATTGCCAAAGAAAAAACTGCTGTTTGAAATTACAGATTCAAGTCTTGCAGCCTCAATAACAACAAGAAGAGGAAAGTTATTGTACGTACGCCATAAAAGCTTGAACTTTATTCATGATGGAAGGTTTCTTGATCAGCTGAGGGTAGAGGTTTGTGAAGTGGTCATACATATGTCTGAAACAATAGATGCAAATTGTTACATTTCTGTCTTACTTGGGTTTCTCCACCTTTTGGTTAATTAGAATGTTCCCTATTGCAATCTTCCTATATATACTAGGAAGGATCACACACACACACACACACACACACATATATTTTTTTAGTAAATCAAATATACACTTTCAAATTGGAAAATATTTTCAACATACAGATAAGGATAGATAAAACAAACACCCAAGTATATACCACCCAACTTCATTAAGTCGTATTTTACCATATTTGCCCTGTATATTTAAAAAATAAAATAAAACGGTAGAATTGAAGTCCCTTTGCACACCTTCCTGATGTTAATTTCCCTCCCATCTCCCAAGAGGTAACTACTATCTTGAACCTGACTTATTATTCCCATATATGTTTTTAATAATTGTTGTACATATAGTAAATTAAAAAAAGTATAGTTTATTATTTCAGAAGAAAATATAAACAATATCATACTTATTCTAATTTATTTCTATAATTTTTTTGGAGAAATATCTATGTTATCATCTGCTGCTTAAATTTATTCATTTCAACTGCTGATATTGTTCTATGGTATGACTACGTGATGGTTCATGTATGTGCTCCCATGATGAGAATTTAACTGGTTTTAAATTTTTTACTATCTTTATACAACTTCAAACGTTGTATATGTTTTTCTAAGCTATTTAGACACACATATATACACACAGACATTTATAAGATTGCTTAGGTGAATATTCTACTATATATTTATAAAGTTATCAGATATTGCCAAATTGTTCTCCATAGTAATTGTACCAATTTACATTCCCACCAACTATATGTTAGACTTCCCCTTCCTCTACAGGCTCACCAACACTTGGTACTGTCAGACTTTTGAATTTTCGACAATTTTGATAAGTTTTAGTTTCTCCACTTAATTTCTGTTCCCCATAGGATTATTGGGTATTGAGGGTTCTTTATTTTAAAACTTGCTTCAAAAAATTAAAAGTGTCTCATATGCTGTAAAATTTTCTAATTGATGAAAATAATCCATTTTCATTTCATTGTGATTTTAATCCTTGGATTTATTTCTGTCATCTTTTCTGTTCTCCACTTATTTGTCTTTCTTTGTCCCTATTTTTTTTTTTTTTTTGCAGTTTTTGCATGGGGCTGGGTTTGAACCTGCCACCTCCAATATATGAGGCTGGTGCCCTACTTCTTTGAGCCACAGGCACTGCCTCTTTGTCCCTATTTTTATTTTCTTTGTTTAGGTAACACTTTTATTATTCTTCTTTTCACTTCTGATTTAGAAACTATAGAATGTATTTCTAGTCTCTTGATGATCATGATTTTAAAAATTTCATAACTACACATTTTCTTATAAACTCTAAATGGATTTAATAGTTCTCTCTTCTTCCAAAATAAATTTTAGCAAACTTTATCCATGTTTATTACTCACCATGTTATTGTTTAAAGATTTATCCTCTGATAGTTTAGTTGCTTTAATTCATACATCTGAGCATAGGTTTATTTTGCCCTCACTCTTGGATAATTTACATAATTATAAAATTCTAGTTAGAATCTTGAAAGTTTTAAGGAAAAATATCTATCTTAAAGGCCAAGTGTGGTGTTTCATGTCTGCAATCCCAGTACTTTGGGAGGTTAAGGTGGGAGGATCATTTGAGGCCAGGAATTTAAGACCAGCCTGAGCAAGAGCCAAACCCTGTTTCTACAAAAAATGGAAAAATTAGCACAGGCATGGTGGTGGGCACCTGTGGTCCCATGTACTCAGGAGGCTGAGGAAGGAAGATCACTTGAGACCAGGAATTTGAGGTTAAAGGGAACTATAATGACAACACTGTTACTCTAGCCCAGGAGATAACAAGACCCTGTTTCAAAAATATATATATATATATATATTATCTCGATATCTTCTCTTCTATTATTGGTGATGGGAGAAGCATGTCTGAGATTCCTTTGTAGTCAATGTTCTTTCTTTCTGTAGCTCTTGAGATGATCCTCAATTTTCTCTAGTTTCTTCTGTATTATAGCAATTTTTTTTCTTTTTGTATTAAATCATAGCTGTGTACATGAATGGGTACAATGTGCTGGTTTTATATATAATTTGAAATACTTACAACAAACTGGTTAACATAGCCTTCACTGCACTTTCTTAATTATTGTGTTAAGACATTTATACTCTATACTTAACAGCTTTGACATGTACCCTTGTAAAATGCACCATAGGTATGGTCCCACTGATTACCCTTCCTACACCCAGCCTCCCTCCTCCCCTTGCCCTCCTCTTCCTTCATCTTGGGTTGTAGTTGAGTTATAGCTTTCATATGGAAATGTGGGTGATTATACATTGGTTTCATAGTAGACCTGAGTACATTGGATACCTTTTCTTCCCTTCTTGAGATACTTTATTAAGAAGAATATGTTTCAGCTCCATCCATGTAAACATAACAGAGGTAAAGTCTCCATCTTTTTTTAAAGGCTGCATGATATTCCATAGTGTACATATACCACAATTTATTAATCCATTTGTAGGTCAATGGGCACTGGGCTTCTTCCATGACTTGGTAATTATGAATTGGGCTGCTATATACATTTCT